TTAGGGACGGCTAGCGCAGATAGCCCTCGTGTAGCTTTGCGCGAAATTCAAAAATAAACAAACAATTCTCTCATAAAATTCAGCAACTAAAGTTTGACAGTGGTTTGCATTGTGCCAGTTTTGATATTGAATCATTATACTCAGTTATACACTTAAAAGAGACAATACAGTTAAGAGCTAAGTTGAAGTATAATGACAACTACAATGATGTAAACTTAAAATAAGAACCAAAACTTGAGCACTTTTGAATAGTTGACTATTCTTCTTCCTTTCATTGGTCAAAGGATTTGATGTGTTCAACTTTTACAGATATAAGCCTGCTCCATTCCCTGAAATATTCTGACATTATTGTTACTTTTGTATAGTGAACTAGCCATAATATAGCAGAGAATAGGCATAAACACATCATTCCACTTTTACAATTATTAGAAGCTGAAATTCTGAGTAAGTGGTCACTTTATCCAACTGAAAAAAAATTCAGATATTTTCATAAATTCTAACCAGATTTCTAGGTAGCAGCTATTTCCTACTGGCCTAAAGATTTAAGTAGCAAATTGTAATTTTAGGTGGCAAAATTTCTACTTGCTACCACTAACTTTAAACTTTGGTTGAAATATATAAAGCACAGTTAGAAAAGCTTTAAGCATGAGAAACGTGTATATTATTTACTGTATGGCAGAGTTGTACTGTTAGTGCGGCCTTTTTTTTCTTTAAAACGTTCTATGGGATATCTAAGTTCAGAAACCATTAAGTGCTCATCATATCTTAACAATTATGGCACTCAATAATAGTGCTAATAATGAATACTTATAAACGTAACTTTTGCTTCGTTAATGACAGATCAAAACTTGTGATTTAATGACTTTTTTACATAACCTACAGTAATATTTTTTTATCATTTGAAAAGCTCTTCATAGTAATTGTTAAATCTCATCCATCCCCTATCAAGATATATCATTTTCAGTGTTATATGACAACAGAATGTGTCATAGCATAATTGTTTTATATAGATTTTTACTTTGTAATAAAGATAATTTAAATGTAAAATTAAGATGGTGCATGTTTTATTCATTCATATATTGAAAACATTTCATTATAAACTACTATCCAAAAACCAAAATTGGTTTTCTTCTGCAACTGTAGTAATCACAGTTCTTGTTTTGAAATTAGCTTATAATAAACTTGTTACTCTAGAGTAAACTTTCCTATCCATTATAATGTCTATATATTATGGCTAGTTAGGTGTGTTTACATGAGGAGCTTCTGTTTTTTATAGTAGTCACAAATAATAATGTCAGTATCCTTAAACTTTGTCCATTTCAAACTTCATGTAAATTTTCCTTTTTTTATCTTTAAAAGTTATGAACTTGTTAGCATTTTTAAATTGTATTTGCAAATATCCTATAACCTTTAATCTAATACTTAAATGTCATTATAATATAAACTATCTGTTCCATTGTCTTTTGGCCTTTGTAGTGATTTTCTAAAGTATGTAGAAAAATATATTATCTATTCCAGGACTTCTAGTGTTTTTTTCCATGTTTGCTTACAAGTATGGAGGGAGTGTGCTGATCAACACAGTTGATGGCATTCAGCCTAAGTGAGTAGTGAAACAATGAACTTAAATCTTTGTGTTTTTTAACATCAAATGTGTTCACATTTTTTAACTTATTTTTCTTTTTTGTCCTATTATGACATGCTCTCTCATATTTGATAGGAAATAATGCCAAAAATGTAAAAGCTAAGAAATAAATCAATATTAGCGAATTGCTTCGATGAATGTCTGCATAATCCTGTAGGCTAGCTGTAGTTTTAATTACTGGTTGTACTTTTAACAATCAAGGTTTTTTGTTGTTGTTTTTCAGGATTCTGTGATTTTGTTTAGGCTTTCCTACTTGTCTCAGATAGTAGTTTCAAATAAAAGAGAATGAAAGGAAAGCTGTTTTTTTATATTTGATAGAATAAGTTAAATATTTCCTTGTCCTTTCCTCTTTTGTTGAAATGATCTGGCCATGTAATGTAAAACCCATGTAAAAATAATGTTATATATCTCACTTCTAACAGTTGCTCTTAAACTTATACTGCTCATAGTTTTAAGTTTCATAGTTTGCTCCAACTTGCCTATTTTTGATATTCTCGTCACTCCTATATGATATCCTGAATTTAACATGCATTACATATTTATAGTATAGATATTCCTAAGCATAGTCTAATTCTGTAGTTTTCAGTCTTCTTGGTTTATGGAGATACAAATTCAGAAAGTCAGCCTACTTGCTATGTCCTTCTATCAAATCCTGTCTTTTAGAAATTGTGAGTAATTGTCACTGGCATTTGTTCTTGGATTATTTATATAACTAATACAAAGAGAAGGTTTCACCTACAGATTTCCTGTATAAGGTAAACTTGTTCTGATGGCAGTATTTGAGTTATTCTGCCTATAGATTCATTGTTACTATTGCCAAGTTCACATTGACCACATAAGTGAATTATTTTAAGGCACTTCTACCTTAATTAAAAAGCCAGTTAAATTGTAATATTTATAGGATGTTATATGCTTTGAGCATATTTTTATGTTTTCAACTTCATATTTAAAATAAATAAAAAATTATATATGGGCTGACTTTAGGATTTTTTCTTTTAATTTATTCATTTAGTAATTTTAGCTTAGAGGATGGGACAGCCAAGATGGACCAATAGGTCCCTTGTTTTTCCTAAACATTATGTTACGTTATTTTGCATATGATAATAATTGGTTCAAATCTTACAAAATGAAAATGAATCAACATGAAACAAAATTATATTTATAAAAGTACAACTACACGGACTGAGTTTTGACAATCATCTCCAAATAATGTACAATGTAGTATAATAGCCACAAGTAACGCACAACTAAATTAATCCTATTTTTTCTTATAAACCTTATGTAGATAGTTACAAAATTCTCCTAAAACTATGTTAACAGTTTAAGTCTGTAAAAGTGTCTATACATTAGGTTTGCAACATAAATTTTTCCTCCACCATAAAATTGGTAACCCATTTTGTTTTTAACATCCTAATAAGTAACAGTTTAATACAGATAGTTATCAACAAAAACTTTTCTTAGCTAGTCAGTTCAAAATGTTTTAAATACCAGAAAGAAATTAAAAGCTTATAATTATTGTTAGACGTAAGAAAATAGAATTGTTTAAAATATACAACTGTGAAAAATGAGTTTGATGGGTGAAGCAAAGTGAGTTTTGTCTCTGAAGAAATTTTCTGTAGTGACTTTTTTGCAACTAATTTAGTAAGTAAAGCTAAGAATTTATCAGACTCTATGAAATAATGGAATTCCCTTGGTTGTATATAAACTAAATATCAATTTGAAATATGATACAAGTATGTGCATTTGAATTTCTTATGAAACCATTTACACCTAGATTCTCACTATATACAGATTGTAGTACCACACCACACTTAGGAGCTGATACACACTGTACAGACTGTAGTACCACACCACACTTAGGAGCTGATACACACTGTACATACTGGAGTACTAAACCACACTTAGGAGCTAATGCACACTGTACAGACTGTAGTCCTAAACCACACTTAGGAGCTAATGCACACTGTACAGATTGTAGTCCTAAACCACACTTAGGAGTTAATGCACACTGTACATACTGGAGTACTACACCACAGTTAGGAGCTATGAGAAATGTTAGTATAAAGATTATTTCTCACATGTATACACACACTCACCCTTTCTCCATGGTATTTACATAATTCAAAACACGATTTAGTATTATGTGTGAAATTACTTTAAGATCTTTTATGGCAAAGATCAAAACTAGGTTGGGTTTTTAGTCAAACTGCAGTATTTGGAAAACTTTGCAAGAGCAGTTTTACAAGCAGTAATAATCTGTTTAAAGACACAAGCTTAAAAAAAAAAACTATTTTCAGGATGTTTGGTATGGTTCTGGAACGACTCTATATCCCAGAAGTTCAGAAGGTTTCGGGTAATACAGAAAGAAAAATTTGTGCTGTAGGCATCATAAAAATTCTTACCAACACACCTGAGCTACTTGGAGATTATTCCATGTTCTGGTAAGTATTGATGTACATATCTCAAATTAATGTATCAGAGATGTTTAGTTTCCTCAATCAAAAAGCATATATTTATATATATATAGTGAACATTGAAATTATTATTCACAAGTTAATATATCTATTGAGTAAAAAATGTTCCTTTTAACTTTGTGTAGCATCTGTAAAAGTTTTAACATAAATTTCACATAAGTATCTAAATGAAAGTAACAGTTTCTTGTCATGAATCTCAAATGTATGCTACATGTTCGTTTGTACTTAAGTGAATAGTGTTTCTCATATTTCCTTGAAAACCAAGCCCATTATTTATATAAATTTGTTAATACATTTAACAAAGTGTAGTGATAAGATACTGTTAAAAAGTTATTTTTAAGATGTTAATTAGCAAAATGGAGGTAGAATAATGGGTTTAACAAGTAACTGAGAAACGTTTTATTCCAAGAAATTTAGCTTTTTCTTACATGATTTAAACCAGAGAATATATAAACAGGAAGTCTAAATATTGAAACATAACTTACAATATATTAAATTTGACAAAAAAATATGTGACTTTGCATTTCTTTTTTAATGTTCTAGATACATACATTAGTGTACACATGAGAGCAAATATTTCACTTTTATTGAAGGTTTAGTTAGCTAAAAGAAATACCAAACCATCATGTTTATAAGTAGTCATAATCCTCGGCATAGGGATAGATAAAAGTATGTCACAACCTTTTTACATATTTGCATTCAAAATTTAATTAAACTACTTTAACGTCGATCTATGTCAATAAACTTGACATCAAAATATAGTTAATAAATCAAATTTTAATATTGCAAAAGTTTTAATTTCTTATTTCAAAAGGATATTTTAAAATAAATTCTCAATCTTCTCTGTATAATGTGACACTTGTTCACTTTGAATTACCCAAAGGATGATTTAGATTTATTTCATATAAAGTTTTTACCAAAAAAAAAACACAACTTGATATTCATTTAGGAGATTCTGCAAATGAAGTTTGAAAATTGTAGATGAAAAAAGTATTTTTAATCTTAATATGAAAATCAACTTTCCCTCAGACTAGTCAGACTGGCTTCATAAATCAACAGATAAATGTTTAGTAAAAAATAATTAAAACAGTTTTTTGTGTACAAAAGACTTGTAATGTTTGGTAAATGCTCACCAAATTTTTTGAAGATACAATTACTATATTGAAAGTTATATGTGTAGTTTCATGGTAGTTGCAAGATTAGTCAAAATGGCTAAGCCTTTATAAAGAAGGTTAAAGGATGTTATGGTACCAAAACTTTACAGTAGAAATGGGAGTTTTGTTCTATGAAAGAATTTGGGAAGCTTTTGCCCATTACAAAATTCCTTCTCCATTTTTCAAGCTTAAACTTGAATAACAATGTTCATTTCTTCTTACAAATAATTTTAAAGAAAGAAAGAATATTATTTTACTGGAAGTGAATGTGTTTTTGGAAGTAATTTATGTAGTAAATCTTCTTTCATTACATTGTTTCTTTCTCGTTGTTTTTTTTTTTTTACTAATTCTTCCTATTTAATGTGACACTTCACTTAACATACATTAAATGCATTTGTGATATTGTTAATTATTGTCTTTTTTTTGTTCAGAGATGTTTTGGTTACAAAGAATGTTTCTGTTCCTTTTTAATTTAAATACTTGTTTTATTCATTTTTTAGATAAAGTGGTTTTAGGCCCAAAATTTTAAATTGTTTCTTCATCACTGGCATATGTTAATGTTTGTGGTTCTCAATTTTTTGTCATTGTTGTTGGGTTTTTTTTAGGCTAGTGAATGAACTATTATTTTCATAGATGAGACCTTAAACACATTCAGTCAGTTGACTTCTCAGTGAAAGAAATTGCCATTCGATGTTTAAATACTTTGCATTTTTGCTGCGTAAGTGCTGAACGTGCATGTAATAAATTGAAAGTGCTTTATAGTTGATACTTTGGTTAAGTGTTGGATTAAGTCAGTCATAACGTATTCATTCCTTCACAGGGCTCCTCTTCTTCAGGCTTTGATTGGTCTGTTTGAATTGCCAGAAGATGATACTATTCCTGATGATGAGCATTTCATTGAAATAGATGAAACCCCTGGGTATCAAACAGCTTACTCACATCTAGTATTTGCTGGTAGTCGGGAACAGGATCCTTTCAATGGCACAATACCAGATGCTCGTGTAACTCTTGCACAGAATCTACACAAGCTCTCAGTCAGCCAGCCTGGAAAGGTTAGTTGTTCTTACCACTCCACAAATACCTGGAATATATTACAAAATATTTGTTCTATACTCTATAACTTTTGGCTACACTGGCATTGTGTGCCTGAAATGCAATAATGTTTACTTAACCTTTATTTTTAATTTCCTCTATGTATGGTTTTGTTCTACATGTTCTTTAATAATTAATTTTTGAGAGAAAGTAAAAAAACTACAAACGTTTTAGCTTTTCTGTTCTTTATCTTTATTATCATTTGTCTCATACTGACAGATTTTGCTTCTGGCTGTTCCGATGTTTGGTATTACATGAAACAACATACTAACATATATTTTTCTTTGGCTGTTTAAGTATAGCATCCTTTGCATTTGTGGAGGGTTTTAAAAGACCTGGGTGCATCGATTTAATGCACCTGCATTACAGTTTGTTTTATTGCATTGCAGTAAAGAAAAAACTAACAATACTGTCAACGGGTTTTGTAGCTTCTACAATAAAGTATTTTTATATTTGTATGAACTTGCAGCTCTGAAATTTGAAAAATATTTCATTGTGATATGATTTTTAACTTCTTGAACTTGACTGGATGCTGTCAGTGTCTGGCTGAAAATCCAGATTTACCCATTCAGACGGTGACGGCTTCCAATAACATTTATGTATCTTTGGCTGAAAACTTATCCAAACCATGTTATTGTCCACAAAAATTAAGAAAATTGGGAGTTTTATAAGGTATGCTGATAATTAATGGGAAATCATAAAAATAACTCCAGCAGAACACAGAAAATTATGGGTTTAAAGAGTTAAGAAACTTTAAAATGTTGTAGGTTTTAATTACTGATTTTTGTCTTCCTACATTCTTTTAAAATTTTCTTATAAAGTTTTTATTTTTCAGAACTGTAAATTTTATTTTTTCATTTAAAAAATGTAAATGGTTTCACTGGCAGATAATAAAAATAACTTTTTTACCATACCAAAATTATAAAAAAAGCCAACTTTTTTTTAATTTAATTTTTAACCAGAATTTTTCATTTATGTAATTAATTTTAAACTGATTTTATATATATCTTATTTTATCTTTACATTGCCTTTTATTGATTTTCTTTGCCCATATAAGAAGTTTATTGAAGCTAATAAGACCCAACACAGTGGCCTTGTCAGCAAAATGAAACTTGATAAGGTCAAGTACAAAATGATTTAATTACATCTACCTTTTTTTTGTTACACAGAAAACCATCATACTTGAATATCATAATTCAAATGAATTATAAATTCATAAAGTTTTTTGCAAGCTGCAAATTCTTCACAAATACTTTGTCTTCTAACATCGTATCGCCAAACTAAGCTTTTATTACTGTGTTCTGACCTGTGTACCAGTCTTCACTGAATTGGGCAAAACATGTATGTAGGGGATCAGCTTTTACAGTATAAGTCAACAGACAAAAATAATATGTGTTATATGTGCTTAAAAGCAAACACAAATTTATAGTTTCAGTAAAAATTACTAAACATATTTATCTATGATGTTAAGTTTACATCATAATACATGCAATTGTTTGTGAAATGTGGGGGGGGGCTTCCTGCAGGCATGCATGGAAGCCCAGATTTATTGCTGTTTTGTATTTTAATCAGTAGTACAAAATAGAAAAATAATCATTTTTCAGTTACAATTTTTTTTATTAATTTCATAATTATAGACGGTGAAGATAATATGAACTCTTTGTTTGAAGACTTCATTAATACTTTTTTCACATAGGATGTATATTTTCACTCCAGTATCAAACTTCAACAAAAGCCTTGTGTATTATCTTAGCTTCTCATTACTTAGATAGGTATCATGTTTCAGTAAACAGGTTACTAATTCCTTCATTATTTTTCATGTTTAGTTGACACCTCTCATATCATCAGGCCTTGCTCCTGATGCAGCTGCTCATCTCTACAAATACCTGCAAGCTGCTAATGTCCAACTGGCCTAAAGAGCTCATCTGTTTCCAGACCTTGTGTTGTTCCTTCGCATCATTACATGTTAATGAAATGCAGAAATATCAAGAAGACACAAAAGCATATAACACAGATTGAAGAAACACCTCAGGAATCAGGATATAAAATAAACCAGCATCAAAAGCTTTTTAGATAAATAATACAAAATAAAGTAATCCTTAAAAATGAACAAAACAATAAAGTAGTTGTTGTTTTTTTAATTTAAGTCATCTGTATCACTCTTAGATAAGTCCAATGTAATAAAAAGGTTTTTTGAAATAGGTTAAAGATCAAAACATTTTGATTAACAGTGTTTAAAAAGAAACGTGATACCTTATTTAATATGTTCAAAGCCTAGAAAATGGACTTTTTGTTGCAAAGACACTTATTTTTCTCATGTTTTAACAAGAGTAAGTTGTACATAAATTGCTTCAAAATCTAGCTTTAAGATTCCATGTTAGTCTTCTTTTCAATAAAACACCTTTTTATTAAATATTCTGCTGTATTTTTGTTATTGTAAAAAAAAATAACTAAAATATTAAACTAAAATTAAATGTTTACAGATTTTTTTGTAGTTACGAAAGTGTATTTTAATAAAATATCTAAACTGTAACTATGCAGTTAAAGTTCATTGTTAGAGACCCTGAGCACTAATGTTAGAAGTTTATGTAATCGTTTTTGAAAATTGTGAGATTAAGAAAGTTCTTGGTGCCATTCGTATTATAACTAGTTAAAAATTAATTAGGTGCGTTTATGAGTTTTTACATTTCTAAAAACAAAATTGCCTTGCTCACAATATAGAAGAACTAATTACCAGAATGCATACAGTTTGTTCTTCAAGCCAATACAAGATGGAGAATTTTCACCTTAACTATGTTGAAATGCTTACATATTTTTTATCCAAGTTCCAACAAGGGTGTATTATTGTACTTCATGATACCAAGCTATTAGGAAATATACAAAGTTTACTTATGCTTCAGAAGAAAAAAAACATTAATAAACAATTAGTAAATCCTATTAATTAAGTTCATGTTGCTGGTTATTTGTTAAACCATTATAATTTTTTTCTAGAACAGAGCACCTCTAAAATTAACACGTTATAATCTACTTTAATAAAAAACAACAGTCAAACTAACTACTAGTTTTATTTCAAATGTATATTTGAAGCAAATATCAATTTTCGTATAAATTACAGGCATGTTCTAATTATGATTATGCAACAAATGGGCTTAAGTAAGAACCATAAGTGTATGAGAAAGTAAAGAAAAACTTGAAATAATAAACAATTCTTGTCCACCGTAAAATCACTATTTAATCTGTATAAACAATCCTACTGTTTACAAATTAAAATTAATTTCATCAAAACAAAAATTCCAAGAGTAATTGTATAGAAAGAATGAAAATATAGTCATTGCACAATGCTATTTATGAAGATTCCCAGACTAGGAATGTATGTGAAACAAAACAATATATAATCAGACTTCTTACAGTGTGTGTCACACATAGAAATTAAGGTAATCTTACAATAAAACATTTAGCACAAAAATCAACATGGTGCTCAATATTCTAAACCTTTCTTTAGCTGCAGCAAGTTTCAGTAATCTTAGTTATTTGAAAATATTAATAAATTCAGTTACACCTAATCTATAAAAGTAGAACCAATACAAACTTTTAAAATAATATATTAAAAATCTGAGCTTTCATTTGGTTTAATTTCCTTAAAACAATTTTTTATGATGTTCTAAATATATGTTATCCTTTGAAATTAGTGCATCTGGAACCACTTGAATGATTCACAAAACATTAATGGTATGCATACCTTATGCTTGTATTTTGTACACGAATGTAATGATAAGCATAAAAAGAACTGAAATGATAAATTGTTCATTAAATTACATTATTGTTAAACTGTGCTTCAAGTGCAGTAAAGTACTTATGTTCTGATCCCTATCTTTAGAATGAAATAAACTTACATTTGCTCAAGTTCTAATTTGGAAGAATAAAGTTTAGGAATTATACTTACAACATTCATACTTAAACATTTAATAAGTTATGAGTTACAAAAAAATGTTGTTGTTTTTTCACAACAGATGGAGGCACCTAAAACTTGGCAATCCTGGAACAGCTTATGTTGATATAAAAATGTTTTTTGCATTCCAGTTAATACTTCAAATTTAACATGTTTTATGCTTTTTGAGTAATTTCCTGTCAAAAATTGGTCCTTGGGTCCAAATAGACTATAGTACCCCAAAATTATAAAATATTTGTCAAGCTTATTTGTGTGCACTCAGTTTAGAATAAAAAAAGTTGAAATTTTAAATCTTACTCTGATTTTGTGATAAAATAATTTTTCTTTTAAGTAAACATTAGTTTTAAATTCCACCACTTTCTTCTTGGTATATTTCTTAAATCATACATCAAGTAAACTTGTTCTCTCCTTTTATATAATAAAGGTGACAATTAATCCAAACCAACAATAATAATTTCCCTGTCAACCATAACATGAACTTCTATAAATGGTTTTAGGCAGTTCCTGTAAAATCACAAATAAACCAAAACGGTCAATGATAAGTCATCATTGATTCATTTAGTTTAAGTTCAGATGTAGATTCTTCCAACAGGTTTAAAATTAAAGCCATAATGCAATGTGATGGCATTGTCCTTTGATTATAATTTTTCCAAAATTTTATTTAACTTTAGTCCAAAAGCATAGAGTTGAATAAACAAGAGATCGCCAAAGTATGCAGGAAAACTGACCTCATAATGGATATGCAGAAGCCCTGAACTTTACAAGACTTTCTTCTGAATCACAGAAATTGACACCCCACTCCCCCCCACCCCCAATTCATTCACACATGCATGGAATTTTCCTAGAAATTATGAATGATATACTCATTAAACAAGTTTTTTTTTTTCAATTCTTACCAGTATGTACTATTTATTACTAAATTAGTGCACAGTCATTGTCTACAGAATGACTAGAACACTTTCCAAATTATGTTAACATCAATCCATTCTGAATGGGATCATATCTGAGATGGTAATAGAATAGTAATGTTGTTATATATTCTTCTCAAAGGTTTTAAATTGGAAAAAAACTTTTTGTATACCATTGTTCAGGTTCTTTTATGGTATTCTCTCTAATACTGGCTTATAAAGTTTTGTGGTTTGCTTCTCTTTTTTAACATCAACAGTTAGGCCTTGTCATGTGCCAGATAGGTGAAATTTTGGTTATAAAAGCACTTCCCTTACAATATGTCCCAAGAACATTTTTGACATCTTTTTTGTCCGCCATGACAATAACAGTTTTAAACAATAATAAATGTTATAAAAACATAAGCACAGTATTTTATACATGAATCACAGTATAGGTGGCTAACAACTGAAGCTTGCTGGCAGGAAAAAACGTTAAGCCATAACAGCACCAATAAGCTACAATGAACATTTGTATTTGGAAATATTGAAATTTCTGGTTACAAGAACTTTCCGGATGTGAAGATGCCGATTAACAAAGTTTTTATATATATATATACAAGTTAACCCAGTGATTACCTACATCCACAGTTGTAACTAATTAGGTAAAGGAAAAACACTGAAAATATCTAGAATTCTTTCCCTAGCCAATTAAAAATTTTGAAGCAATATGCAGATAATGTTTTTACAGTTCTTCCATAAAAAATTGTTACTTCATAACATTTGTATACTGAGATCACAGTTGAAAATGAAATGTATTTGCCATGCTTCCACCTTTGAATGTTTTAATATATCACAATGAAAGGGGAAATAAGTACCATCATCTAGAACTCTTAAGAAAAATCTCCTTTATTAATTAAAGTATTATCTAGTGAATATGAATTTGGATTCATTAAAAACAACTACAAAGAATAAAATCCCCCCCCCCCCGGACAAAGAATGTCAAAACAAATCAAGAGAGCCGTAACTCATTAAAAGTCAGTTTTTAACCAACTAAAACAGTTACTAACACATCCCACAGACGTTTCATCCGAGTTAGTTCATAAATTATTTTTCAAAAATTGTCTATTAGTTTACATGCAAGTTAAATGTACATAAATAGTCCTATAATAGGGGCTGGGCAAAGGCTACTTTTTAACATGCCAAACTGTAAAGTGTGAACTTGAGGTTTGTATTTTGCATCTCATTGCCACAAAATTGTGCTCAATGCATGAGGCAATAAGTGCAATGTAACAGTGATGGTCAAGTCCTACTGTTCAATCAAAGTAGCCCTAGACTTGGGTGTTGTTGATTTCCTGTTTTACCTCTATACTATCAGTTAAAAAGTAGGAACAAAAGGTTCTTGTGTAGCTTTGCACAAATATCCAAAAGAAACAACTCCAGAAAAGGAAATTTTGCAATTTAAGAACATTCTTCATTCTACATGCAGTAGTATTAATAGCTTTCAACTGACAATGGAAACCAACAGGCCCAACTAGTTCTGGTACTGAATGAAGGGCATCCTCAACAATGACTTTTGGTAGACGAATGAATGATAGGTCTGCAATGCTAATTTGTACTTATAATTAATTAATAGGTATATAAATTTGCAGTCAAGCATGACTTTTCACAAATATTAAGCCTGCTGACCTCATGTAACATATCTGAGCCAATACTGATGGTTCCTATTTTCATTTTTAAACTGACCCTTTTTTAAACAATATATAATTATTATGAGGTACTTTAGCCTTATCACACATGACAAATATGAGTTATTCTTTTCATGAATTGCATCATGATTATTTAAGAAAAACAGCCTTGTTTCAGAGATGTAAAAATCACCAACTACTACTGAAATAGTTCTACCATTAAAGTTTATCCAGTATGACAGTACCTATGGCCAAAATAATATGGTCAAGTGGATATAGCATCACAAACATCAGAGGTCTAATCATGATAAATAAATTCAATGTGTACTGTACATCAAACAAGCAATTATCAAATGTAGATTACAAGAATACTGTTTTCACTTTGAACATATGCATAAGTTGAAAACCACATGCACTTACATTAAATACAATGAGATTGTGTGTATGATATCTATTATTTACTATATATTTATGATTGGCACTAAAATGCAAACAATGTATTCACTGGTGAATGTTTCAGCTAAATTAATATTAATTCTATGATTTGTATTTATTTAACTTTCAATTTTACTTCAATAAAGATGGTCAAAAATTTTGTCTACTTGAGAAATTACACTATGAGGCCAAGTTTAACATCCAGAGTTTTCAAAAAAAAAGGAAGGAGGAGGACTTTTTTTTTAAATGACGTCTTTTTAAAGAAAGTTTGCACCCTTTATTTCATGATTATTGTTTGTTTTCAAATGATTCATGTGAAACAGAAGTCTTCTTTGTTTCATTTTTTCATCAAAATGATACAGGATTTATGACAAATAAAGAAAAAGAACAAAATGAATCAACTGTGTTCATCTCATTTTTTATTCAAAGTCTTCTTTGTGTGATCAAAAAAGGGAAAATTGCCAAAAAAAAGTAGGGGAGGTGGCTGCAAAAAAAAAGAACTGTATTTTTTACTTGGCCTAATACCTGTACAGCAAACTTGGCTTATTTGATAAAAAATAGGGTATAATAATATGAAGTAATTTTGTCAAGTTACATGTGTTATTTTCCCCACATAATAATTCTGAGTCCAGACATTAGTTTTAAGTATTTGAATTTATAACCATCATATCATTCTGCAAGGAATGAAGAAGCCACAGAAGATTTGTCTGATGAGGGTAATTGGGACATCATTGTTTTGTTTTATATTAAAAGAGATTATATGCAATGCAATTTTTAGAGTGTAAGACTAAGTGTAGCTTACCTTTTCAATTTTGGACATTATTCAAAATAATTAAATAACAAGATAATTGCAGTCATTCATTTGTAGCAAAAAAATTATTTCGGATCATTCAACACAATATGGCTGTTGTGAACACATCAACATGTCAAATCTTGCTTGGTGTATTAAGTCTCTGGTATTTTAAAAACATACATTAGAAACATACAACTGGCATACATTGTGTTTATGAGTTTGTGATCAACAAACATGTTGGTCACTATAATACCTATGAGAAGTCTCCTGGTGGGGCAGTGGTAAGTTTGCAGATATACAATACTAACATCTGGGGGTTGGATTCCCCACAGTAGACAAAGCAGATAGTCTAATGTGGCTTTGCTCTAAAACAAACAAATAAACAATTTATAAGAATAATTTATTATACTTTCACACTTTTATCAATATCTTAATTAAAACTGATGTCAGTTACGAGTGTGGTTTGTGCAGGAATAATCATTTTAATAATCTAAAATTTCTTGAACATGAAACACTGTCAGCAGAAAACCCTACTTTTAATTAATAAAAATTTGAACATGTGTAATTAGGTATTTTAAAAATATTAATTATCTCTTGTAAATCATACAGTCTCATGCTATATTATAAAGGTATGGTAAGTGGCTAGGTCATGATTATAGCTAGCTTATTATTATAAGCCTTCCAATTTCAAAAGAAAAACTGATATACTGTAAGTTTATTTATCAGTAAATTTTTCAAGTAAAGTAGGAACTGTTACACTTGCATAATTTCATTTAGCAAAATTCACATTATAGTTCATGTAATAATAGTTAATCAATAAATATCTAAACTATTCTCACTTTACAACAATAGAATTCTTGGTGAGAACTGCCATACTTCTTTGAAATACTTTGGCTTTAAATACCCGTTTTTGTCCCCTGGTGATAAAATAACATTGTTTTCTGACTGGAAGAATTTAAATCCATCATCAATCGCCTTTACTACATCAATCAAAATAAATATCTCGCAGTTCGTACGCATTCCACTTATAACACCATTTTCTCCAGGCATCCCGACAGCAAAATGAATGTGATTTCGTTTCATTCTAGATAAACCGTCTACTTTAATTTTGGGCCAGTTCTTAAAATATGTTCCATGTACAATCATATTTGGACAATCTTCTGCTTTTAACGGAACCACCAAACCTTCTTCATCTACTTTAACTGAATGACCTTGATTTGCTCGAATCTGTAATTCTCCGGTTTCAGGATGATATCTTAAAGCAAATCGTTTTTTATCATTATATTCGACTACTCTTTTTACATCTTCGACAGTTATAGAGGAAAACTGTGGGAAACTTAACAATTTATCTACACTTGCAAAACCACCATATTCTAACTTTAGCCCCTCTTTTTCAGCACCATGCCTCAGTAACCACGACAAAGATTTTGAAAGTCGGATATCTTTATCCTCATTTCTTTTTTTAGCCCGTGGATAACCATGGGTGTATCTTGCTCTACTCATTTCTACTGTAAATGTTAGTTATTTTCAAAAGTTATCTGAAAATTTATTTATTTAAGATTTACACTACATTTAACTCTTAAAGCTGCCATTTTTATTTTGCTGCTACCTAACGGTTGATTACTATATCGTGCTTGTGTACATGTATATTTTGTGTGATAAATATAATAGTTTAATAAATATTTAAGTGACACTAAAATGCTTGTTAACTTTAATAAAAGTAGGCGAATCAAAAAAAGCAACAGATATTCAATGTAGTTCCAACACTTTTTAGAATGTTTCCAGTGTCCCCAAATTGATCCATTTTTCTTTGTTTTTCAAGGGCATTAATTGTCCTCATCTTGGAAATTCTAAATCCCCGATCTGAACACATATATACTGTCTGAATGTATGAAATTTTGCATCGGAAAAAAGTGTTATATGCCTTTTCCAAAAACATCACATCGCCTATTTAACGTCAAACAATGCCAAAATGATATTTGATATAGTCATTCCACCGCGACTTTATATTGCCTGTAAATGTCGCGTGATTTGCTGACTTGTATGTTAAAAATCATTTTATACAACGTGCTCAACCGGGCCTTCTGTATACGTATATTTTTTTTATTAAGAATAACTATAAAGTCAACAAACAAAAACAGTATAAACCTAATAATGAAATAATAGAATAAGTTACAACTGGTTGTCTTATTGATAAACAATTTAAAACTTTGAAATTATAATCTGATATAATGCTCGAGAGTACAGCATTCTAAACAGATTTCTAAAATACCATCCTTATCAATGTGCATGCGTTATTCATGTCACTATTGGTCATTCCAATACAAATAAGAAAGAAATGTAGGTCCTTAAAGTATCACCAATAACTAGTATTACTATTTACTTTTACAGAGAGCGTTCTACTTTGCAACATTCTTTTCAGCAAGAAGACATACGTGTGTAAAATAATGACCTAGAACAATAAATAGCTAGAGTGAAAGAAATTTTGCCACATTCTGTGGCTAATATTCTATTCCTAAAACAATGTGATATTCAGAAAACTGATATAAAAAAACCTAAGTTTAAATTAGACACAAAACACAGAACCTGGAAATGTTATGCAGATAATTCGGACACAGACAGTAAAAGGGAACTAATAAATAGAAGTGAATAAACAAACATTCACTAAATAGTGTTATGGATTTAACAAATAGGCCAGCCTCTTGATTGTTTGTACTCAAAATGGCTGATGGGGATGGAGAAGCTTTCCAAACGTCTGCACATGACAGAGCCAGGGTAAGAGCAAGACAAAGACTTGAATAGATACCCAATATTTATAGTCGGGCAGGAGGTTACGTGTTCTACTCCTCATGTTATTAGATTACATACTTCAGCAACTATCCCACATACAATTCTATCTCAAACGATTTTGTACAAGTTTTCTTTGTTACCTGTTTGAACAGCTGAGCATCCTAGAAATCCATACGCTTTGTTTGTTTATTTGTTGTTAAGCGCAAAGTTACATAGTAGATTATCTTTGTTGTGCCTACTGTGGGTATCGAAATTCGATTTTTAGCGTTATTAAGTCCTCAGAACGTTTCGCTAAGCCACTGGCGGTTAAGTCCGTACAGAAAAACACACATGCTAACTTAAGACTTAAAACTTTTAACTGCGTAAAATAATTAGCACGTGCTTACGACCTATCAACGTTCGGTTTACAAGATTAATCAGAACTTCCGATTGGAAGTAAAGAAGAGTGTATAAAAATACGTCAACCACACCATATCCAGTGCAGATGAAGCTTTTCGCCCAATACCAGGGATGTTCAGGCCGCTTTGAATAGAACAAACACAGTGGTGGTTGAGACATTGATTATATTAGAAAATCGCGTGAAAACAACTGTTACGTTGTGAACTGGATTAAGTTTGAGAAGTGTAATTTTTCATTAATTTCTATTTATGTCACAAAACATCGGAATTAGGGTAAATGTTTTTAATATTATATTATTTGTAATAGAAAATGATTGCACTTATAATTGAAAATATTATTTACTTAAAAAGGGACAGAAATAAATGTTTACCTGTGACCATTTTAAAATAAATAAATAATTTTGATCGTTAAAAGTTTCGTAATCCTTGATATTACTTATTTGTTTTAACACTGTTTTTTATTAATTATTGTTAATCTTGGATTTATCTGCTTATTATTTATAAAGAATGGCGAACCAGCAAACTAATCTTCTTGATCCCAGAGTGGGTTAAGGAACGACAGCGATAGTGGGAGAAAACTATATTTGTAATTATTATGTCACTAGTACGTAGTAATTCAGAAAAAAGTATAGGTATGTATCCGAGTTAAAGTATGTATTCTATATTATTTATTGAAGAGTAAAATTAGTAGACATTTCAGGTTTTTTTCAGACCAACCATTAATGTCTGAAAATAAGTTAATTAAAGGTCATTAGATGCTGTAATAATTTCTTTCAGATGATTTGTAATACGCTACTATCCAAAGAGAAACACATCGCCTCCAATAGTTAGGAAAACAAAAAAATAAATGTTATTTTTTTATCGCAAAGCTACACAATGGACTATTTGAGCTCTGTTTGATGCAGGGAATCGAATCTCAGATTTTAGCGCTGAACTTACCGCTGAACCACGGGTTAGGAAATGACGAAAACAGTATTATAACTATTATTATTATTAATAATTCAGAAAATAAAACTACGTCAAAATTAAATGAAATCACAGAAAGCCCCACTAAATGGTAGGCAGAGCACAAATAGCCCATTTTGTAGCATTGTATTTAACAAACAAACACAATTTTCTGGTTTAATTCAGTTTCTTGGCTTTTGTATTGTTATTCCGGTTGTGATTATTTTTGTTAAGCACAAAACTACACAATGGATTGTCTGTTCTGTCCACTACGAATATCAGAATCTAATTTTTAGCGTTATAAGTTCTCGGAGTTACCACTGAAGGAAGGGAAAGGGAAGTAATTATTAAGTAGAATCTAATTACAATCTAGCTGGATTAGGGCCTATTCAGAAGCCTTCCAGACTGGCGGCCAGGAACACTGATATAACTATGGAACGTTGTACGATATGTTACTTCATTATGATGACACACTTTGTCATGCCATTAGTCATCCGACTGTGAGCTTTCCCGGAGATGTCACATTTTAAAATATGTGTGTGCCTCTGGACTTATTGAAAAAGATGCTTCTCCAAAACCATGTCCAATGGCTGTTATAGATGCAGAATACAAAAATGATGTATATCCTAATGTATTATGGTATTATGCACAAGCCTAGTTGAGGCTGCTGCATTTCAAGATATGTGCATTTCCGACTTTTGGAGAAAGATGAGTGCCTCCCTTAAACATGCACAGTCTCTTAGCCACACATTGGTACAGAAGTTAATATGGTGATAATGTGAAACAAATAACCCACCAATGTCTGAGGGGATGGTAAAGGAGAAGTAAAGAAAGAGACCACTTAGGATGACGGATTAATCAGTAGACTAATTCCGATTGATGGCACAATGAAGTGCTCTAAACTTCCTGCACATTTCATCAATCTCTTCGGCCATAAGTGACTTAAAGCAGCTTGTTGCAATTCCTGGGCTTGTTAATTAAGCAACTTGAACAAAGAGACCACCCCAATAATGTTGGGACGTTCAGTCTTTTTGATGCCAGCATGACCGTATATTAAATTCTCTGCTATTTGTAATTAATCTTTATCATCAGATTGGTTTACTTTCATAAAGTTTAGATTCAAATTTGATTTCCCCACATTAATACAATTTTAATTGGATTTTTATTTCATTAGCAGACTGGTAGTAGTGCTGGGGCATAACAACACAATTAATTATGCATTTAGCAATAAACACACCAAAACTGATACACATGTAGGCTAATACATCAGGAAATTAATTAAATATGGTGGCACTTGAAATTAAATATGTGAAGAAGCTGTAAAATGAAACATTGAGGGTCCAATTTAAAAAAATAAATTTTGTGTTACAAGGTAATTTATTACTAGTGTTAAAATGTATTTTATACATCAATATGCATTACAGAGATTAAATGAGTTTCAAATAATGGCAGTTACATTAATAAACTTTTTTTTCTCTCATTAATTGTTTTTTGTGAATATATGAACAATGAGCTTATGATGAAAATAAATTTGAGTTTTTGACTTCAAACTATGAAACTTGATAAAAAAATTTGTACAGTCAACCCTGACATGAAATCTCTTTGCATGAGACTATTGATTTATGCTCAGGACTGGTTTTTTTCCTTCAGATATAATGAAGTGTTTCTAAACAAGCATTTTTCAAGTTATTGTCTTTTGCAGTTAAAAAATCACATTTCATATTTAATGGAACAATATAGAATTGGATAAACATATGTTAGTATGGCATCTAAATTTGCAACTGTTATCAATAATTTATTTTTGAGTTGTTATGAAGTACAGTGAATAAAAATGTGTACCACAGAGTTTAAGCTTTTATTATAGAAGGTATGTTGATGAAACGTTATTTTTGAATCATTGATCTCAATAATTTAGATTTTTTTTGTTAAAGTGGCAGGAGTAAGTTACAAATATAATTCAGTTTTTCTTGGGTTCTGCTCAAAGCAAACATCCAGTAAATAAAATGAAACTGTTTCAGTAAGGTTTGGTAAGTTATCCAGTAGTACTCATTGTAAACAGGATGAAAACGGCTTTTCCCCAGCATAGCTGTATTGTAAAAGAGACTAAAAGAAGTTGGTTTATGGAATACATCTACTTCAAAAGTACCCTGTCTATTCAATTTCATATGAGAGTATTCAAGAATGGCTAACTAGTTTCTTTTTTATAATCAACAGTAAATTTTATGTTTGAATGTTTGCCATTGAATATACTGCAAACATTTTTGAACTTCAATTTAGAAAAGAAATGAATACTGATACTAACATGTCAAATAAGGCAGTATATTGTCTTTAAAGATGCTGACAATAGCAAATAAAAGTTTATACTTTCTTTTGTTTTTAATAGTAACATATATTTTTCAAAAGTACTAAGATTCTTCTGTTAAAAATTTCAGGCCACAGAATTTCAGTATGACAGTAAGGTAAGTGCATCTGACCAACATTTGATTTTTGTGATACGAATGGTCAAGTGGCAACAGAATATTTTAATATTTTGGATTTTATTCCATGTTTATTACATCACTTATTGCCAATAAGCAATGAATCAAATTAGAGATACAGATTTTCCTAATAATGCTATATTTCTACAAAATACCACTTTCCTACAAACAATCGTAGCCTGTAAGTGATCACCCATTTCTGTGTATATATATATACTTTTAATGATGTTGCAAGAATTCCTCTCTAAGTAAGTACTACAAAAGGCTACAAAGGTTTTGCATCAACCAGTTTGAACCAATAGCCACATTCACAACGTTTTGGGTCTCCTTTTTCAAGCCACATCCAGTTGATACATGTAGCATCTTCTTCACCTATAAAAAACATCTATATCAATTTTATGACCACCTGCCAGTATGATATAAAAAACTGTAACATTTAAGGTAAAGATACCCATGGATATCTCCAGTAAAAAAAACTCAACATCAAAAAAAATATTTATTATTTTTAAAGATCTGGTATAAAGCTCAAACATTTTAAAAAATATTTACTTAAAATTGAGTCTGAAAGAAGACCTACACATGAATTACATCTACATCTAATATTAAAAAAATTGGATTAAGATTTACAGAAAACTATCCCAACATAAACAACTAATAAAAAACATTTTGTAAATGTAAAATGATGTAGGGATGGCAATGACAAAGAGAATGCAAACAAAAATATAGGAATGATACAGCTATATAGAGATCATCCCTACATGACTTAACATTAAAAGTTGATATTACACTGTAAATAGCCGAGTACAAAACGGTTACGAGTCTGATGCTTACACTGACAAGACCATGATATTATGATAACCGCCATACCAACAGTCAGGAATATACAACTTTCAACTGCAGTTATATTAAAGTCAAGTATGCATTTTACAGTGTAACATGAAATTTTGATATTGAAAGTCATGTAGGTGTGATCTATGTATAGCTGTATCATCCCTATATTCTTGTTTGCATTCTTTTTAGCACTGCCATCCCTACATAATTTTACATTTACAAAATGTTTTTCATTACTTGTTCTGTGATGTTTTTTCGCCTGACTGAAAGTTAGTGTACTCAATGAATGTGCGTAATAAAATTTAACATGTGTATTGACTTTTTTTTTTACCCCATCACTTCATACAAAATATAGAGGTTGGCTCTCTAAACACACTAACTGTATAGTGTACAAAGTATTGAGTATCCTACATGTTAGTCATCTAATATTTATCTATCATGGCTGGTAATTTCTGTTTTGACCTGTATTTAAGCTTTTTAATGGAACACCAGATTTCTGTAAGAAAGTTAACTTCAAGGGGCAATGATAAGATCATTTGCACTAAATATATGATTCTTTTTTTTTTAATTACTACTAATTATTATGACAATGCGATGATATCGTGCACTGCCCATAAACACACAGAGTGGATTTAGGTTTAAACTGACATTAGTGATAAAGTTGTTGTAGAGTTATCTCAACTGAACCAATAAGAAGTCACTTTCTGGTTTGATATCTTAGCAATGGTTTCTTGCCTTCTTTTTGGGATTGTTGGGTAGAGAAACAAATGCAAGTGAGTGGCAATCATCTTTTAAAGTTGAAGTCTCTGTCATTGTTGATTTTTTATCATGTATAGTTGTATTATGCCTATTTAATACTTTGGCCATCCCTACATATAAGGTCTATGACAGTGATTTTTGTTTAGCACATTTACAAAACTTTATTCAATGAAATTTAACTGAGAATCTAAAAAAATTTTGATAGTAAAAGCTACAAGCAGAATTAAAACTGTAATGTGTTATGAAGCAGTATACAACTCTTATTTCTTATTTACTTTTAAAAGAGGGTCTGTTCAGGAAGGGTTAACTCAAATTGATACGGGCTTGGTCAATTTGACCGACCACTTAACCTCTTTGTACTCGTTTAAGGTGTTTATAGATATAATACTTCTAACTTTCAATATAGTGTGCATATCTTCACGAAATTTGGCAGTCTTTCAGTTGATATTATAAGTCTTTCACGTACAAAAAATAATATTTTTAATGTGAAGTATTTTGAATAAAATAAAGATTTCTCCATGAATATATTGAGTATTTGTTTTGAATAGTTCATGTGCAAAGTAATTTTCATGTTAAAATTAAAAATACTTTTCCTCATCTCAAAAATCTCAAATTTCCTTTGTGTAATCCCTAAAACCTCCTAAATGCATTTCAAACATTTTTTTTGGTAAAACTATAGTTTATCTGTTTTTCTCTACCCTATCTCAAAACGGGATTGGTCAATTCAATCGACCTCGTAACCAACAAAAAATAAAAATAATCAAAATAAACTTAAAATTACCCTTTTTTTCTTTCTAGAATGACTTCAAATTGTAACATGAAACTACATTCATTTATCCTAAGTAGTTCTAAGTTCATAACAGTATACATCTATAATTAAATTTTAATGCACTTTGAACCGTATCTAACTACTATCTGTGCCAAGTTGTAACTCACTCGAGAAACGTGCAGCTCCCGTTACACTAACGAATTACATTACCCATGAGCTGCTTGTGTGTGTGCCTCAACAAATATTTTATTATAATTATTATTATTTTACCTAATCTGATCTTAACTAACCTAAACGAATCCCTATTTTTACATTTATTTACTTTTATAACTATACATAAAGAATAAACATGAAAAACAAGAAATAAAATATTTAACCAATCTTCCTTTCTTGATCTTGATTGTTGAAGTGAGTTACGTGGAGCCTAGCCTGTCTTTCCCAAACTTATGTTCTCGTGTCCTATGATAATAAGAATGCAGCACAAAGAAACCACAAGCCTTTACTTTATTAATCCCCTTGATAATCTTGTAAATTTAAATAAAATCACCTCTAAACCATATTTTCTCAATAAAAAATAAGCTGAGATCTTAAACTATCCATATAAGATAACCCTTCCATCCCTGGAGTCATTGTACTAGCTCCTCTTTAAACCATTTCCAATAAGACCAAAATTGTACACAGTATTCCAAGTGAGACCTAACTAGTGATTCATACATAGATGATTACCCCTTTTCATTTGTAATTAATCTCTTAAAATTCTTTTAGTTCACTGCTATCAACACAGCACTACTTTGTTGGCTTGAACAACCCATCCACCAATCTGGAAAGATTCTTTTCTTCAGTCACACTACTGAATGGATTTTGATCTATATTAACTCTTAAACACCTGAGTCTGTTGACTTGACACACCTGTTATATAGTTTGTTTTACTGCACTGCATTACAACAATAAAAAAACAAAACTATTGGCTAAAATGTTTAAAACTTGAGGTGAACTTCCTACAGTTTATATACCTTCTGTAAAATAAAATTTTCATATGTAATATTTATATGAATTCACAACTTTGGAAACTTGTATGTTTTTTTAAGAAGCATTTAAATATACATACATTTTTTTCATAAGTTTCAATTATTGATCTTATGTACAGCTTTCAAAAAATTTTTTTTTAAAAAAGCTGTAAAATTTGTTTTGTTTTGATTATTGTTTTCAACATCACATATAGTTTCAACGACATACAATAAAAACAGTTTTTTTTTACCATTTCAAAATAATAAGTGAGTCCAATTTTTTATTTTTAATCACAAACTTTCATTTAATATATTTAATATGTTCTAAACTGTATTATATATATATATATACATACATATATTTTACCTGCCATGTTTTTTTGTGATGTTCTTTAATCATTGAAGCAGTAACTTAAGTATATAAAGTCTAATGTAACCATGGCTTAGCAAAGAACAACCTTGTCAGTAAAATTAAACTTGATATTGTCAAGACTCAAATGATAAAAAATAACTAAGCCTAACAATTCTCAACTTGATCTTGTCACAAAGAAAGATATTTTCATATCATACTGACTTTTTCTTTCTTTGTTATTAAGTACAAAGCTAAACAATGAGCTATGTGTGCTCTACTCACTGCAGGTATCGAAATTCCTCGCAATTATTATTATAAACCTTTAATCTTACAATTTAGCCACCAGGGGAGCTATAATATTGAAAGATATATAGTCCAAAATGATTAAAAAACAAGTTTTAAAAAAAGAAAAATCAAGAATGCATTTATGGTAGTTTACAAACATCTTTCTTCTAGGAACATATAACTGTGCTAAGCTTTTATCACTTTGTTCTGATTTCTACAAGTTTCCATTTAAATAGAAGCCTTATTGACTTATACAGTTAAAAAAAACAAAATGCTTTCATTACATGTTCAGATCACTAATCTGTAGCTTTACAAAGCTGAGAAACAGGCAGTTTACATAACAAGAAAGATTGATTTGATTCACATGTTAGATGAGTTTAGTACTGGTCAAACCATAGGCTCTCCTCTCTATAAATTATGGAGTCACATCACACTGTGTCTGTCAGTATGCAATCCATGTAGTATGGCTCAATCCATAACTTATAACCAACAAGCAATAATTACTTTTGCTTTTTACTTTATTATTATTTATTATTATGAATATATTATTTAACACCAAGTACCCAATGTGAATTAAGTTATTTTAACAGATGTTACAGTATGTTATACATTCAATATGATATGAAATATATATATACGTGAAATGTTAAAATATCAAAATAGCATTATATCTAAGTGTAAGATCTATATCACAATTAAATACTAAAACATTTACCAATTGTTTAGTAGATTACTTGTTAAGATAACTATCATTAAAAAAAACTAAAATTACAAAATATGGAAGCATGCATCTACACTGTTGGACTAAATGTTGCCACTTCAGGCCTAGCTGTATCTACAGAAGTAATACACTTGCAAACTTTAAAGTATGAAATCCAAGCTAATTTTCATAAAAATATTGTGAGTTACATACTTCAGATTTGAATGATAAATAAAATAAAATATCCATATCAAACTTCATGTATTCTGAATTACCTACTCCAGGGATTATTACTGATACAATAAATAAGCAAATTATTTTATATTCTAATATTTATTTTTATTTTATATTATATTCCTTTTCTTTGGTACTTACATTTCTGAAAAATACCCGTAATACTAGCAAATTACTAAAGTCAATAAACTACACTTAGAATTACATGGTTTACATTGGCACTGTTTTGTTCAAATCTATATTGACTTTTTTTCCTATGAGTTGAATTTTCCAGTATTCAATGTTATAATAATAAGTTCTGCACACAAATTTTCACCACCAATATTCCTTTTCTCTTTACTTGTTAGTATTTTTTCTAACTTTTTTGCCCCCTGACAATTTTGTGGTGAATTATTTGAGCTTTTCAAACCTGCCTTGAGCTGGTTCTGTTGATGTAAATCAAAAAGAACAAAGGTCCTGACACTGAGCCCTAAGGTACCCCACTTGTGACATTAATCCAGTTTGAATGAACTCCATTTATAATAACCCTCTACTTTTTTCCATCCTGCCAGTTTTCTATCCAATAAGTCAACCTACCACTACACTTACAAAAATAGCTTTTTTACAAGCCTTTATGTGGCACCGTGTCAAATGTTTTCTGAAAATCCAGATACACCAAATCCACACCCATACCATCATCTGCAAAAGCAGTAACCTCTTCAAAGAATCTTAAGAGATTAGTAAGGCAAGATTTTCCCCTTGTGAAACAATGCTATTCAACAAAATTTTAAGCTTTGTGAAACAAACTTGCAAAGCATCTGTTATCACACTTTCAAAAACTTTCCCCATTACTGATGTAAGACTAATAGGTCTATAATTACAGGGGCAATTTTTATCACCTCTCTTGAAAATAGGAGTAACATTAGCCAACTTCCAATCTTCTAGCACCTGCTCACTACTCAAGGAAAAAATAGTAGCAAGTGGCTCACATATCCTTCAATCTATTTCAAAACCTTTGGGTAAATATCATCTGGCCTGGGAGCTTCATCATTCTTTAAACTTTCCAGTTTCTCCTCAACAAACTCAGAATTTTTTTTATCATCTTGTTTCCATCTAGCAATTGTTCAGGATGAGGAATATCGCTTAAAGTTTCATTTGTAAAAAAAGAAGAAAAGGTAGAATTTAATAACCCAGCCATCCCTTAATCATCAGATATTAGTCTTCATGTACCAGCCCTCAAAAGTCCTACTCCCATTCTAACATTTTGCTTACCCTTAATGTATTTAAAGAAATCGTTACTATTAATATTTATATTTTTAGCCAACCTTAATTAATATAGTTTTTGATTTCCTAAATTTCAATTTGACCAACTCTCTTGATCTTCTACAATTCTCCAAATCTCCTATCATTGCAGTCAATATAAACTTCACATATTTATAATGCTTTTCTTTAATTGTATCTGGATTTTCAGAAAGCATTTTACAAGGTGCCACATAAAAGGCTTGTAAAAACAAATTAGCTCTATACATGTGGGGGATAAGTTAGGGAGTTGGACAGAAGAGTGTTTGGATGGAAGAAAGCAGAGGGTTGTTACAAATGGAATTCAGTCAAACTGGATTAATGTCACAAGTGGGGTACCTCAGGGCTCAGTCTTAGGACCTTTGCTCTTTTTGATTTACATCAATGACATAGATGAAGGAGTAGTCAATAAATTACTTAACTTTGTAGATGATATTAAGGTCTTGGGTGTTGTTAGCTGTGAAGAGGATGCTGCTGATTTACAAAAGAATTTAGATCATTAAGTGAGTTGGGCAATTAAATGGCAGATGGGTTTTGATTATAATAAATGCAAGATAATGCATGCGGGTTATCATAATTTGAATTATAACTATAATTTTGATGGGAATAGCCTTAATAGTGTTATGAAGGAAATGAATCTTGGTGTAATAGTTGATTGGTCTCTAAAGCCATCCAAGAGTGTGCTGTTGTTAGTGGTAGGGCAAATAGGATTTTAGGTTGTATCTACAGAAATGTTGAATAAAAGTCTAAAGAGATTATAATTTCATTGTACAGGTCACTGGTTAGGCCACATTTGGAATATTGTGTTCAGTATTGGGCTCCTTACCTTAGGAAAGACATTAAATTGTTGGAAAGGGTTCAGAGAAGGGTTACTAGAATGGTGCCTGGGATCAAGGGGTTGTCGTATGAGGAGAGAGTGAAATCTCTCAAATTGTCTTCTCTTGAAAAAAAAAAAAGAGTTGGGGGGGATCTGATTGAGGTGTTT